CTGCTCCTTTCCGAGGTTGTTGTACATTACTTTCATTTTCTGCAGATTAATTTTAAGACCCACCTTTCTGCTCTCCTTGTCTAACTCCGTAATTATGAGTTGCAATTCGTCCCCTGAGTTACTCAGCAATGCAATGTCATCGGTGAAGCGCAGGTTACTAAGGTACTCTCCATTAACTCTTATCTCTAACTGTCCCCATTCTAGGCTTCTGAAAACCTCCTGTAAGCACGCGGTAAATAGCATTGGAGAGATTGTGTCCCCCTGCCTTACACCCTTCTTTATTGGTATTCTGTTGCTTTGTTTATGAAGCACTATGGTAGCAGTTGATCCCCTGTGGATTTCTTCCAGAATGTTTATATATACTTCATCTACGCCCCGATTCCGCAGTGTCTGCATGATGGCTGATATTTCTACTGAATCAAACGCCTTCTCGTAATCTATGAAGGCTGTGTATAGTGGTTGGTTATACTCTGAGCATTTCTCTATTACCTGACTGATAGTATGAATGTGGTCAATTGTTGAGTAGCCGGTTCGAAATCCTGCTTGTTCCTTTGGTTGATTGAATTCTAATGTTTTCTTTACTCTGTTAGCAATTACGTTTGTAAATAGCTTGTATACTACAGAGAGCAAGCTGATCGACCTGTAATTCTTCTATATATATATATATATATATATATATATATATATATATATAAATATATATATATACATATACAGAATGCCCCAGCTATCTCTAGCCAGAGTTTAAAGATATGCAACACACGCAATCACGTCGTGATCAAATGCGCGTCGGTGACTGTTGCCTGCAGATAGTGAGACTATTTTTGGGTGTGAAATATTTAGTTGAATCTATTTAAATAACTAACTTTTCAAGAACAAATATCGGTAAAACATTTTAATGAGAAAGTTGTAGATCTGTTTGCAAAACGTCTGATACAACAGTTTGGACTTTATTATTGTTATATTATTATAGTGTTTTTCTGCTAACTACAAATTCCCCCGAATTACAAAAAAAATACGACGTGACAAATCCACTGGCATGCCTCCGCGTGGAATGATTCTGGTGCTTCCTGACGTTCTCTGAATAGAATAAGCAGAAATTGATTGACTGATTCTTGATTCATTGATGGAACTGAGTGACTGGCAGGTGACCTTGCGCTATACTTATGACAGAGCAAGAATGTTAATGTAAACATTGGTTTCACGAACAGCACACGTCAACACATCATGCACTCAAGTCATTCCATAACTATGCATGTTGCCTTTTCATCAAAGTTTGCTCAACAACTGCAGTAGTTGTATGAGGTTTTGATGCGTCTTGCAGGCACAGGTCTTTGAATTAACACCAAGAAGTGCATTTCGCCAGCAAGTCCAATAATTTACTAGGTCACGTCGTGACCAAAGATGGGATTTGCCCTGACCCTGACAAAACTACCGCTGTACTTTGGCTCCCTCATCCTGAAAATCCTAAAGACTTGCGAAGTTTTCTTGGTCTCGCCCCTTACTTTCGGCGATTTATACGAAACTTTGCCCCCATACCAGCACCACTCCACAAGCTACTTGCTTCCGGTATGCCGTTTGAGTGGTCTCAAAAATGTGAATCGGCTTTTGACATGTTGAAGAATGCCCTCACGACTGACTCTATGCTTGTCCATTTTGACGAAGATGAGCCCACACTTCTACACACAGATGCCAGCGGCTGCGGTTTAGGCGCCGTTATTCTACAACGTGACAACGCCTCGCGAGAGCGTGTCGTTGCATACGCCAGCCGCGTACTCTTCCCAGCCGAGAGGAACTACACGATCACCGAACAAGAGTGCTTGGCCGTCATTTGGTCAATGCAGAAGTTTCGTCCCTATCTTCATGGCCGCCATTCTACAATTGTAACCGACCACCACGCGCTATGCTGGCTTTCCACACTCAAGACCTTGTCTGGACGCCTCGGCCGATGGATTTTACGCCTTCAAAAGTACAGCTTTGACATCATCTACAAGAGTGGCAAAAACATCGCGACGCCGACACTCTTTCTCGCTGCCCACTACCTACTACCTCAGTAGGTGTTTCCACAACCACTGTGCAGGACAAACACACAGGCTCCACTTCTACATCGGTTAGCTCCCTGGCCGCTATAGACCCGCTTCCTTTGGACAATGAACAAGAGCTTCCCTCTCGCCAGCTGGCTGACCCGTACTGTCGGCGTATCATATAGGCTACCTCGCTGGCGATTCCCGTCCGCCTAACGCGAGGCTCCGTTGCCAACTCTCGCTGTTTAAGCTGGACAACTCGGCGGTTCTGTACCGCCAAATTTACCATTCTGACGGGCAGCGCTGGGTTGCCATTCTACTTCGTTCTCTTCGCTGCGACGTCCTCAAAGCGTTTCTGATGATCCGACAGCTGGTTACTTTGGTAATCATAAAGCCTTCGACTGCACTCGAAATCGTTTTCATTGGCCTGGAATTTCTACAAGCGTTGCCGTGTACGTCGGCTCCTGTACTGTCTGCTAATGTAGAAAATCCAAACATCTGCTACCGCCGGTGCACTGGAGCCTGTTCCGTGCCCAGCTACACTCTTTGATGTTGTAGGTGTCGACTTTTATGGCCCCCTCCTAGTCAGTGCCGCCGGCAACCAATGCATAGTGACAGCCATTGATCATTTAACGCGCTACACTAGACAGCATCCGTGACTACTACCTCAGCCTTTGAAATTGCTGCGTTTTTATTCTCCAAGCTATTATACTGCGCCATGGTGCTCCACGTGTTCTGATCATTCACCATGGGAAAGTCTTTCTCTCTCAACTAGTCAACGAACTTCTTCAAGTCTCAAAACGTCAACTTCTCCAAACGTCAAGTTGTCACTCCCAGTCCAACGGGCTAACCGAGTGATTCCACCGCACTCTTGCCGACATGATTGCCGCTTATATTCAACCAGATCACAAAAACTGGGACGCAATTCTGCCATTCGTCACTTTCACTTATAACACGGCCATTCAGCGGACAACAGCCTACTCACCGTTTTACCTGGTTTACAGCAGCTCCCTTACTTTCTTTCTCGATGTTTCTTTACCGCCAACGTAAACCCATCTGCATCCGGGTGCACGTTAAAGAACCCGAGGTGGTCGAAATTTCCGGAGCCCTCCACTACGGCGTCTCTCATAATCATATGGTGGTTTTGGGACATTAAACCCCACATATCAATCAATCAATCAAACCCATCTGCATCCGCTTCTGATCAATACATTTCACAACTCGCCCAGAGCCGCCAACATGCTCGCATGAATACCGAAGCCATGCAGAAAGAAAGAAAGACTGTTTATGATGACTCGCATCGTGCTGTATCCTTCCGCTCTTATGACCAGGTATTGCTGTTGACATCTGTTCACACACCTGGCATGTGTGACAAGTTTCAGCCACGGTTCATCGGGCCATACACCATTCTGGAGGAAACTTCGTCAGTGAATTTTCGCGTCATGCCTCTTGTAGCTCCAACCAACCACCGTTTTCAAAGTACCGAAATTGTCCACGTCTCCTGCATGAAGCCCTACATGCGATGCTCCTCATCCCCTTGATCTGCGGCGGCCAGGCTGGCCGCTTTCACATCGGCGGAATTAGTATGAGCATTTATTATACTTATCTTATTCATTTGTACATTATGATTGTCATCACGTGTTGATCATGCATGCTCATCGTTCTTGTGTATGAACATTATCATTCTTGCTTGATCGTAGCTTTCGGCTGCTGGGTCCTCGGGCCTAATAGATGGTCATCCAAACCAAGCTTTTTCTGAATAGGTATCTCGATGTGAGCTTTAAGTTTCTTTTTTTATCTCAACCTTAGAAGTACCTGATATTACATATTTGTTAAAAAGTTCAATGCAACGTAAACGTAACGGCACATTCCAATTTTTGAAATGTAACTGTAACGAGTTTATTTTGCATTTGAGGAACTTGTAACACGTACTCCTTCCAAATTAGGGATGAAACGAGAAACGCGTACAACACTGCTTCCTGCTTCTGTTGCAGGAGCGTCGCCAGTGGGTGGCACACCGGGCAAGTGACCCCCTCCCCCGCCCTCCTACCAAATTTTTTCCGCCATGGCATACATAGCGAAAAATAACTATTTAAAGTTGGTGCGGTGGTTCCCCCTAGAAATCAAGGAGGTGCACTCCTAACCCCCCACTCCCCCGAAATAAATTTCTGGGTACGCCCCTGCTCCGTTACTGTAATCAAAGAATCTGCCACCTTCAAAATTGCAGTTATTAATGTTTTGTTCTTTGACCACTCCTCTCTGTAATGCTCTCGGGGCCCGAGAGAATAACAATAAGTTAATAAAAATTGTAAATAAATAAATAATAAACAGTACTGCCACACTCCCTGCTTTCGTTTTAACCCGCATGTCGCGGGATCAAATCACAGCTGCGGCGGCCAAGTTTTCGGTGAAGCCGCAAATGCTGGAGGCCCATATGCTTAAATTTAGAGAGAGAGAAAGGAAGGCCGGGAGGTTAAATGCTTAGATTTAGGTGTACGTTGAAAACTCCAAGTGGTCGAAGTTTCTGGGGCCCTCCACAACGACGTCTTTTATAATCATATTGTGGTTTTGAGACACGAAACCCCAATTTTAATTATCAATAATTATCTCGTTTTATGTTACTGGACACTTGCACGTGTCCTTGCTGCCTTGCACCGCCCTAAAATGTTTGAGAACATTTTTTCAGCCTATTTAGGGCTTGAGCCCGCAAACGAAGACAGCAGAGTTTATTTTCGGAGAAATCAACGAAGCCAACAGGAGATAAGGCTGTGATGTCCAATGCTGCATGTATGCCTATTTACGTTGTCAAGAATTTGTTTTATCGACAGCCGACGCTCTGTGGCTAGTATCAGTGTAACAGCGCGCGCGAATTGCTTGCTGTAGATTGAATTTCCTCCCCCCCCCCTTCCCAGCCTACACCAGTGAATTCCATTTGGTTCCAACTTGAGGCTCAAATCACCTATATTGTCTACTCACGGCTTGGTGGCTCTCTTAGAGGACCGGAGTATGCTCCTGGTGCTGGTGGACGAGTCGGACTTTTTCAGTGCGGGACGCGTAGGGGACGACTGGTCTTTGGACATCTCTGTCGAGTGGCTCGCCATGCCCCCTACCAGAACTACAGGCCTCGTCTTCTTCACGCGCCTTTCGCACTGATGATGGCTGCTTGATTCGTTCTAGGTGGTATTTGAGGCTCGACCCACTATGTACGAAACCGTGGAAGAGGGATACACTAATTTTTTTTTTCAGATTACACGACTGACTTTCGTAATTGCGCGATCTATGTGCGAATAGGAATTTTACAACACCGATTCGACACGTGCCGTTCATACAAGTAAAAAAAATTCAGAAGCTACATCCCATCCGAAAAAGGGGGCATGTAAAGCTTGGAGTGCGCGAGCTTGAAGTACTAATTCCTCTTCTTCGCTATCACGCCAACCTCTCTCCATAGGCGGAGAGTACGGAGAGGCTGGGTGGTTCAAACCCCCTCCAGGATGCTGCACGCGCGCCCCTGCGCTGGCCTGGGCAATTTTCAAAAAATTGGCTTAGGCACTTATTCATTGCCAACGAACTGTCCGTTATTGTAGCTACTTTACGGGGGACTGTTTATGCCTGGTCGTTTTCCTTTCAGGCTTTTCAAATTCGGAATCTGGGCCACTGACAACAAGTAAAGAGTCTGGTGGCGTGGTCGCATTGGAAATGGATTGACTGATTTGTATGTGGGGTCTAACGTCCCAAAATCGCCATATGATTACGGGAGACGACATAGTGGAGAGCTCCGGAAAGTTCGTCCACCTGCGGCTCTTTAACGAGCACCCAAATCCGAGCACACAGGCCTACAGCATTTTCGTCTCCATAAAAAATCGCATTGAGAACGAAGTCGCAGGATGCCGAAAATTGCGACATTTTTACGGCTCTTGTGCAAAATAAGTGCGGGATATACGCATAAAGAAAATGACTTTTTTATGTAACAGACAATTTTTATCGGAGCTCTCGAGAAATACATATATATATATATATATATATATATATATATATATATATATATATCTGTGTGTGTGTGTGTGTGTGTGAGAGAGAGAGAGAGAGAGAGACGCTAGATGCGGACCACGTGGCCTGGCGCATACGCCATGTTTATTCCATTCAGACTTCTTCCTTTTCGGCCTCTACCAACCATCGCTTTATGCGTCACACGATTCCCCCTCTCCCCGAAAGAAGTCACGTCAGACGAACAAAAACGAAAACTGAACATAAACGGCTTAGAAGTGAACACTTTCAAAAAGGGAAAATCATTCCATGCCCAAGGAAAGTTCCGTAAACACACTAGATTCACAGGAGAGTGCAGCAGTCAGGTAAGTGCAGGAGTTCTGGTCGGTGAGGATGACTGTTGCGTACTGGCCAACAGAAGTACGGCTTGAAGGCAGGAAATGGTGATGACACAGCAATTCTTGCGAGAAATAAACAAGGATGGAATGCCTTGGTACACTTTGGCTCGAGTTTCGCTCACGTGGTGTTCTTTGTCGTGAATGGTACGCACGGGTCACTGCCACTTTGCGTAATCGTTGGCTGCTTCTTTCCACACCCTGCTTCTTTCTGAAAAACAGGGTTTTACGCCGTTTGTGTTTTTTGTCTCCTGTTGTTTCAATCGCTTTGATCGTAGGCTCCGTCTTGATCTCAGCTAGGAAAAACTTCTGTGATGTTTCTTTTCGGGAAAATGTCTTGAATCTGATGTGTTCTTTCTCTCAAGGGAGACATCTTGATTTGTCGACGCTTCACTTGAGTCTCTTGCAAATTGCTTTCCCTGAGCTGCGAGCGGTCTTTCGATGACTGTGGTTGTCCATGTCGAATAGCCTGTCGCCGGACCTGGTTCATTTTCTTGTGCTGTTCTTGCTGGTGCTGCGAAAAATACTGAGGTGGCAGCCCTTCTGGACAAATGCAATGTTTTTCTTGGCAACTTGACGTAGTGCTCACTTGGTAGCTGTTGCAATGCTTTTTGTGCAGTGAAGTTAGCAGAACAGACTTGACTGGAGGAGTATCACTGGCACCTGCGACGTCGTTCATTACGGAGGCTTCTGGCACCCGGCACCCGGCACCCTGTGAGAGTTGGTGCTTCTGAGCCTTCTGTGTTTGGATTTTCAGGCGCACTGGACGGTGACAACGCAACAGGCGTGGTTTGGTCAGATTTCAGTTCTGAATGCCCGTCTTTCCGTGCAACTAACGAGCTGAGCTCTTCTGACGAATGAATCTGGATAGAAGCCGCAGGGCATCGCTGAGTATCCTCCGAGTTCCGCAGCTCTATCGCGACCGTAGTAGGCGTGCGAGGCGTGAGGCGTACGTAATGAGTGACGAAAGAGCCATGCGATGGAAAACCAGGAGGTGGGCCAAGTGTGCGAGATGGAAAGTAAGCTGATCTAATGTGTGAAGACTGATTTTCACTCTTCTAATGTGTGAAGACTGATTTTCACTCTTCTAATGTGTGAAGACTGATTTTCACTCTTCTAGTCGTCATGGCGTTGTTCGGTATTTTTCCCATGCATCAGCTGGTCTACCATGAACAAGGCGTCCTTGTGACACGAATAGCGACCGTTAGGAGTCTCTGAAGAGCAGCGTCGTAAAAAGCCAGGCGGTGGACAATGTATGCGAGATTAATCATGCAGGGCACCAGTAGGGTGAGCGACGTCTCGTGTCATATGTTGGGGCGACAACTTAGGAAATGCCGACTTTCGTGCAGAAGGGAGGTGCGCTGGATGGTTGAGGTTTTCCCGAAATACGCATGGTCACCAGTCAGTGAGCTGATGTGCCACTTTGTCTTGTGGCAGTTGTCACCTGGGCTTTCGAATGCTTGAAGACTGCTTAGAAAAATGACGGTAGAGTGCGATTGCCTGCGGATGGTTGATTATACGCGAGTCTTCGTCGTAATCGTCATTGTATTCTCTAAATCGGATGATCATTTCTTCTCTAATCTTTTTTCATGACTCGCCATTTTAAAATAAGTGGGTGAGGTAAAATTTAAATGCCTCACCGGAGCTATAGTCAATGAAGTTGGTGATCATCTCCCGTTCCGACCATGATGCAGCGGCGGCGTGGATCTCGAATAGGTTGAACCAGTCTTGTACGGGTCCGTCGTCCGATGATCCGGTGTACTTGGGGATGTCACGGTCAGCTGATGGTTGTGACATGATGCTGGTTGATGCTGTTGGGACTCCGGGTCCTGCCGGTCTCGTTTTCGGTAGCTGGCCCCGTCGCAGGATCCATCGTCCAACAATTCAGCGAGAAAGAAGCGCCTGAACAAACGACAGAGATTTATTTACATGTGGAGAAGTGATCAACTGATCAAAAGAGAGAAGAGAGAGAGATACAAAACGTCTTCGGCATTTTATAGCACCGCGTTGCCGACACTGGGCGCACTGTCCGCATCGTCAGTCAATACGGTGTCCCCTGCACCTCGGCCACGAGGGAGGGGGAAACACCTCTCACAACACATGGAGTGGCACAACCTAACACGATGTCCATATATGGTCAAGGCGCCCTAAAAAATGATCAAACATGGTCACGAACGCACAGCAGATTCCGGAGTTCTCCCGGCGAGAGGTGGAGCCTGAATGGGGAGGTGGGGGTGGACGACACAGTCGGTCAAGAACCGGTTCTCCCCCAAACTCCTCTTGTTTGGTTCCCTAGGGCCGGTCGTAACAGTCTCTCGCGCGGAGGGGTAAAGATCTCGATGGCCTGAGGTTTGCAGCCACTGTCCGGAGAGATCAGCGGCGGCAGTCGGTTTGGTGACGACCGTCTTTGATGAAGTAGAGGGCACCACCTGCTTTATATTGGGCTCAACAGACATCACATACGCACATGAAAACACAACTACTCAGCCGGTGAGCGCCGGACAATTCCGCCAAACTCCACCAGGCAATTTTCCCCTTTAACTGATATTAAAGGAAATACACAATTTATTCAAAACGTTACTCATACGTTAAGGTGACACAAAACAACAACACTGGAAGCACACCGAACCCGAAACCCTGGATAGCCGTGTCTTCAACGTTTTCAAACAAGTACACCTAAAAGAGTAAAAAAAACAATCACTAGCCTTTGTCTAGGTCAGGAAAAAAAATGCCAGAGTTCTCGAGACATCCTCTCGCGTCAGGGGCATCGACTTAAGCCATCAGCGTTGCCATGGAGTACACCCCTTTTTGTAGCGTATTTCAAACGTATATTGTTGCAAAACGAGGCTCCAACGCAGCAGGCGGCCGTTCTTAGAGGACATGGTCTGTAGCCAGGTGAGAGGATAATGGTCCACTTCCACAATGAACTTGCTTCCGGCAATATAACAAGCCAGTTTCTGGGCTGCCCAAACCAAGCACGCACATTCCTTTTCGCTAGCGCTGTAAACCTGCTCGCGAAGGGTGAGTTTCCGGCTAACATAGAGGACGGGATGCTCTTCATCCCCCTCATCCCTTTGACTAAGAACTGCCCCCATGCCTCTATCACTAGCGTCGCATTGGACTATGAAAGGCCTCGAGTAGTCCGGTGAACTAAGCAAAGGTTGGCTCGACAAGGCCGCTTTCAAAACGCGGAAAGCCTTTTCTTTCTCCTCATCCCAGTCGACCATTTGGGGCTCGGTCTTGCGCAAAGCGTCAGTAAGAGTGCTGGCAATGTCGGAATATCTAGGGATGTACTTACGATAGTAACCAGCTATTCCAAGAAAAGCCCGAATATCGGTTTTCGTTCGGGGCTGGGGAAAGTCTCGGATAGCTGCCACTTTCATTTCAGAGGGACGGCGATGCCCTCGACCGATAACATGCCCACGATAGAGTACCTCTGCTTCTGCTAGCTGACACTTGGGCGCCTTTACCGTTAAACCTGCTTCGCGTAGGCGTGTCAGTACTGCTCTCAAATGTGCCAAGTGTTCTGGCCAGGACGAGGAAAACACGGCGACGTCGTCCAAGTAAGGCAATGCGAAGTCCTCTTGACCCCGCTAAACCTTATCCATTAAGTTTGAAAAACAGTAAGGCGCGTTCTTGAGGCCGAAACTCAACACTTTAGGGCGGAATGTCCCCAATGGTGAAATAAATGCAGCATACCGGCTCGCCCTCTCGGTGAGCGG